ATAACCTATAAAAATGTGTTGCTCAATAAAACCAGAATGTTATGAACACAACTTTCACATGTATGTAGTTTGTTTAAAGCGAAAATATTAATATATGTTTTATGCCCTTACAACCTCCTTAAAGGGAAAACAACAGCAATTCCAAATGAATGCTTATTTTTTTATTTTTGGGAAAATCGAGCAGATTAATGCCCAATTTCTTCACTTCTAGATAAGTTGCGGATAACCTTATCCAGGAGATATCTCCATTGTATTCTATGAGATATCTCTTAATAAAGTTATCTAGAGGTGAAGAAATTGGGCCTAAATAAAAAGAGTAGAAAAACGTCTTAAAGAATCGAAAAAACATTAATTCCGATGAATAAACATGTACTTTTTACGGGGAAATCGGGTAGATAAAAAATGAGGCGAAAAAATGCATCAATAAACAATCTTAAAGCATAGACAAATATATGTTTTTCCTCAACCTCGGGGAAATTAAAACGCAATAAAAAAAAATGAGATGCAAGAGAAGTCAAGGCCGGAGGAGTGTTTTCCGAGAAGCAGCGATTAAAGTGTGACGATTAATGTCCGTTTCTATCAATGTAGTTTAATTTTAGTTTAATTAACTTCTTCATCTCTTTCTAATTCTAAAAAAAAATTTTTTTTAAATGAAAAGTAAGTTGAATCGAGAGAAGTTAATCAACATTAATAGAAATGAACTTAAATCTCTTAGCAGCTGTATTACGTGAAACTGCGATAGGAAAAATTGTTTCGTGCGCGCGCGCGCGACGGAAAATATTTCGAGAAATGAAAAATATATTATACAAATGAAATATTAAGTAAGATTACCTTGTACTCGGTGTCCTCGATACCCATGTCGAAATCTCGTCGGATAGACTGCGAATAGATTGAAACGACTGGCTCACCGCTTCAGAAAGAGAAAAAGCAAAACAAAGAGAGAAAATAATAGAAGAATTTGCGATGATCCTCTGACGATGTGGCACACACCTAGCGCTAATTACTTTACTACCGGCGTGATTATGAGCTAACTATAATCATGAGACGCGTCACCGGATAAGATAATGAGTACGTGTGTAATTATCACGTCCCGATTCGATTTTCTCGCGAGAGGATGGCTCGCGGTTGTTGTTAACATCAACAAAACAAATCGAAGGGATCGGAGACTATTTAGGAAAGGTCGCTACGGAATCGTGTTGTGTCACCAGGTATTTCCAGTCACGCTGTCGACGTGGAACCTAATACGCGGCGAATAAACTCTGCTCGCGAAAATACTTTCGCTTATTATATGTAGATATATTTGAGCAATTAAGGTGTCGTGGAAAGGGAAAAAGGATATGACAAGATACGATTAAGTGCAAGACCGTTCGACTTCAAAAATTCTCTCTAAAAATTCAGAATCACTCTCCGAAAGGCGTAACCCGTGTAACTCCGGTTTGCTCGATCAGCCTCGAATGACGCATCCGTTCACGGCTCAGCTCGGCTCAGCTCCACTCCGCTTGGCGCCTGCTTGATACGGGACACCACACAACGCCAGCACGCTTGTTTTTGTCGTAGCTCCACGAGCGCCAATCGAAAGGCACGAGAGGATCAGCCGGTGGGGTTAAAAACGATAATGCGATGCGGCAATGCCTCATGCCTGGCTCTTATCGTGCATACGTGCATACGTCAGTAGTTAAATCGCATGCCTTTGACTTAAACCGTGGGATAAAGAGAGAAGGGAGAGAAAAGTGTGGAAAAACCGAAAATATATAATGCACCGATTGTTGCCAGTGCAATTCTGATTGCGATTCTCTCTGTTAATTCCTTTTTGTGTGATTAGCTGCTACTGCTCAGCTGCTAAGTTCAAAGTACACGATAAATCGAATTCGAATGTCGTATTTTCTTTATGCAAATTCTATATATAGGCCTGAGAACGGTCGAACATATAGTCTGTCCCTTGCAGCTGTAATATATACATTTTTATTTAAAGACGGTATATAATTAGACTAATTATAGATACTGACGAGAAAAAGAGGAAAGGTAAAAAGTCCAAAAAGTTCAGCTCTATGGGAAGAATAAACGAGTTCTTGTAATTATAAAAGCAAGTTATGTACGTTCTACAAATTTCTTAACCGTGAATCCTCCTGACTCATATCTGGTGATTTCTACAAATTCCTCTTTTCCTCATCTTGATACTATTTCTATAGGCTCTAAGTAAGAAAGAACCTTTTTGATTGAAAAAGTAAAGAATGGCTTTGTGCAGGAATCAAGCCTTTTATCAGAAAAAACGAAAAGAGATTTTAAGAACGTAGAAAACAATACACGAGCCGACATCTTGTTAAATAATGAAGAATTCTTGAATCAGTCGGTAAAATAACGTGTCGTTAGTAGAGTAGGACGCTGTTTAAGTGGCAGGCAATATTAATCTTTTCTACATTATTTTTTATCTTCCAGAGATTGTATAATGTATATGATTGTAAGATTTCGAACTAATCAATGAAAATCACTGGGAGAAGATCAGAATTATATTTAATTACATCAAGCTGGCAAAGTAATTTGAAAGTAACATAATATCAAGAATTCAGGCATATAACCTCAAACAGAGGTGCAAAAGTCAGTTGGTTGAATCAATTCCAAAAAACTCCCAGGACTTGAAATGACGGATACTCCTGGCACAAGTTCGACCACTACTGTTTGCGAATTGTAAGTTCAGCGTTTTATATTATATATTAAATTGTATTTTATAAAAAGTATTCATACAAAATTGCTAAATTACATTAAACCAAATATTGTAAACGCTTTTATTTGTATTGTGTCAACATGCATTTCTCTTCTCGTATTAGTTGCAGCAAGCGTAAACGCTTGTATACTTGTCCACGATGTGGTATAGGCTATTGCGGAGCTGAATGTTATAAGTCAGATGCACATACGGATTGCTCCGAGAGCTTTTATAGGCAGTGCGTTGAGGATGAGTTAAAGTCTCAAGAAAACGATCCAGTTGCTAGACAAAAAATGATGGAAATCCTTAAGAGAATACACGAATCAGACATGGAAAATGATATCTTGGAAAATAATTCAGATGAGGGGAGCATCAGTGGAGAGGATTATCCATTGGATTCAGACGACGAGCAAGAAGTAATAAAAATCAATATTCTCGACAGTTTCTTGTGATTTGGTGAATGCTCATTCTTACAAATGTATCTTTCAGCTTCTTGATTTGGAATCCAGATTGCAGAATGTCAATTTGGAAGATCCAAATGAGCTCTGGTCAGCCTTATCTGAAGCAGAGAGGCAAGAATTTGAAGCATTGATAAAAAATGGAGAGGCAGAAAAGCTGTTGCCTAAATGGGTGCCATGGTGGACTTGTCATGTAGAAAAAAAATTAATTCAGCCAATTGAAGAAGACATTAAGGATGCTTATAGCGATTTAAAATATCCTGATTTGATAGATGTACCATTATTTAACGAATTGCAGGTTGGTAAAGATAAAATCAATATTCATAGTTAAAATATATGACTTAATTTTATTATTATTTTTTTTTAGAAAGCATCTCCTTATGTACCCTTTAATGTAACAAACGTGATATATGCTTATGCATATGTAGCTCTTTATTATATTGGAGATTATTTAAACTGTGCTGAGGAAGCTGTCCATGTTTTTCTGATTATCTTATATATATATATAATAATATAAATGTATACATTATAAATCTTGATGAAAGTTTTTCTTAGAAATTTTTATACAAATTGGGACACTTCAAAAATACTGAGAAACTCTACAGCTTAGAATTTTTTATATCAATTCTGAAATATTTTAAGATTTCTCATTCTGTAATTTCTGAAAAAATAACCTTAAATATTTTAATACTTTTTCAGATTTTGTAAGATTTTATCAAATACTTTAAAATGAAAAATCTTAGAATATTTCAGAATTCAAAATATAAAAAATTTTGGTAAAAAATATAGACTTTCTCAACACTTTGAAAAGTGCAAATCTGTATAAAGGATGTGAGAAATTTTTCGAAAGATAAAATTATTTAAAAATTCTGAAAAGTGTTCTGAAAAAAATTTCACCAGAGTATATTATTACTCAATATATACTTTAATATACATGTGTATATGTATATATATATATAAATATATTATTATAGGTTGATTGGTTGCCACAAGATGAACAAACTATAACAGCACTAAGAGAAGCTGGTGCTTCCATTTTGCAAGGACCAGGCGTTGAAATGAAAACCATTTATACAGCCGCGGCACTCTCCGAGCTTCATCGGTTGCTGACAGCAGCGAAGAAAGAAATTTCAACTGGCAAGAGTGACAATCGGGAATTTACAAAGAAATTTTCACAGAAACTTAGCAACGACACAAGTCTATCGAAAAAGAATATACTTCTGTGTTTAAAAAAGTTAGAGTATTATTTATCATGGGTGAAAAGTGCTGGAACAGAAATCTTATAAGTATAACGTGAAGTTATTTATTAAAACTGATACTCAGGGTACTCTTTGTTATTATTTATTAAAATATGAAAAATAATATACTCTATTAGTAAATTCAAAATTTTTATTTGGATAGATATTTTCTTCTTTTTTTTTTAAATAAATGAAGTGGTTTTTGTTAAGATCATTTCACATGAACATGTACAGAAGCTTATCCTTGTGAAACAAGTTCTCATAATATCTCGATATTTTAAATAATTTGTTATAGTTTGAATTCATGAAACTTTCTGAAAAGTACTTACTTTAAACTTTTTTAAAGTTTATAAATCAGAAATTACAGAATGAGATATTTTTGGAAATCTAAAAATATTTCAGAATTTTTTTTCACTTACAAAGAAATCTAAGATGTGTAGACTTCTGAAAAGTGTTTCAATTTGTATAAAAAATCTGAGATTTCCTAAAAAGTTATAAAATTATTCAGGAATTAAAAAATTTAAATTTTTGAAAAATTATCTATAAAAGATTTTCACTAGAAATATGCAAAATCAACTAATCGTGGATGGAAAATAAAAGATATTTTATTTCTGCGTTTTATACACATTTATAACACTTCATTGATCACTTTATTCATGTATTTATATACATTTTCCTGCTAATCACTTTTCTAAATGGCATCTTTTTTATATTTCTTTCTATGTGCTTTTGTTACTTTATACAGATGCTAGCAGACGACGTTATTGACATGACGTTTGTCGCGATCGCGATGAATTCAGTGAATTATTGTAGCTAGGCTGTCAATCAGAGCACGGCAGGGCCGTGCGAAGAGTTTTAGTGCAAAAGCAAAAATGGGGCCTTACCTGTTTATAAATTTTATATTAAAAAAGCTTTCTGGAGTTCAGAAAATGTAACAAAATGGTATAATTAAAATTATAGCAGACCACCAATTATATGCCTCTGTCAAAAAGTTAAATATATAAAAGCTATTTGGTTAGGTAAAAAATTGCATTATCAACGTATAATTTCTCTTTAAATTTTACACACAAAAATTTTATTAAATTTAAATTTAAATTACTTTCTACTTTTATAAAGTATAAATAAAATATAAATAAATATTATTTATATGTGTGACGATCAGCCCAAAAAAAAACAAATTTCGATTTGTGTACTACGGGAAAAAGATTATTTGCACGTGCAAATTAATTTGAATAGAGATAAAATAAAATAGAGAGAAAAAATAAATATAAAATAGATATATTTAAATAAAAAAAATTCGGAGCCCCTTATTGGAAAGTATTGGAAGTGCATGCTATGCACCCCTCCTTTAAACGGTCCTGAGTGGCAATACTGGCGACTTGGCGATTGGCGTTCAGTCGGCTCAGTCGGCTGCAAGATGATGGCGGATGAGAGGTTGTTTTTCTCAAACGCCGTCCAACAATTGGCAAGATGTTTGGCCGCTATCAAACCCACGCCGTGGGAAAAAGTAAGTAGAATCTTCCCGAAAGAATTCTCCGATTGAACGTCTATTTCTCAATCACGGACACCTATCGCACTCCGCGTTTTCCATCGATTTTATCAGGGTTAACAACAGGAAATATCAGCTGACGTCCTGACGTTTCATGTTATGACATAATCCACAAGGATATCGTACCACTTCTGGAAATTATAGTTTACGATGCGTAATAATTAACGTTGTCTTATAAAAAATTATGATTGCAGCTTACATAATGACTTTAAAAAAAGTCTTAGAAAAGTAACAATGTACTTTTGCCGCGGTGTACAAAAATACACTCCAGAAATTACGCAGTCAACGTAATATGTCAAGATTACATGATAAATATACAATTATTTGTAAAATGCAAAGAGAAATCGGCATTTTATAAGATTATGATTATTTATAAAATTGATAAAATACAAGATTATATATAATAAATATAAAATATATAAAATATAAGATTATATTCTAAAGTCTTAATATTGTTTATAAGATTATATACTATATATTATTTTATATATATATATATATATATATACATATTGTAATAATTATATACATAATATTAATATTAATTAGCGTTCTCTATCGTATTTGAAATATTAATTAGAATATAAATTATTAAAATATGATGCAATATTTTAAAATATTTTATCAGAGATTTTCTCTCTTTTAAAAAAGCTTATCTTATTTTATTTTCCTTGACCAAAGAATTAATGTACTTTTTATCAAGAGATAAAAATAATATTTTTTATACTTAATTACAGGTAGCAAAACTGTACAAGTTATGTCCGCAAGAATCTACTCAGGGTGTATTTCGTCTGGATCAGAGGGGTCAGGATGCGACTATTGCATTAGGGATTTATTTTTTGGAGTCTGGTCTGCAACACCGGGATAAAATTTTGCCATATCTCTTGAGATTGTTACGTGGTCTTCCAAAGGCGGTGTGGCGGGATGAGGTAAAATGTTCGCTCGCCGAACGGGTGCCGGTTGCGGAACGTTTCAGCTTCTGTCTGAACACACTGCTGAGTGATGTGGCGGCCAGGTGTGAACCGGTACGAGAAGAAATCATTTCAACGCAGGTCGAGATACTCGCTGTCCTGACCAATCTAATACGTGGATACAAGGATCAAAATAGCAATAGGGGCTTGCAAGCAAAGAGTAAGTATTAACATTAGAACCACCAATAGTATTCTACAAGAACTGAGAAGGTGCCAACTTGTCCATTTCCTGCCATTCTTTTTTGGACATTATTTTGATATTATTAGAATTATTTCTATTACTGTATTTATATATTATTATTCAAATAAAACAAAATATAATCAGAAGAGCTATGAGCCAAAACAAAACAAATTTTAATGTACATATGATACAGTTGACATTAAGTAAAATAAAAGTAAAAACAAAATAAAAATATGTCTACATCAAACTAAAAATATTATATGTCTACATCAAACTAATGTTTTGACCACTTCGGGTTATTTTCAAAGTTATAAACAAGTATATATATGAAAGCGGTTGACTACAATAGATTAACATAGATCACTAATTATAGAAGTACAATGAAAATGATTAAAAATAGACCTTTGTTGTTCAGGTCCTGATTTCAGTTATATGTAGTCGATGGAAGGTAGATCCTGGATTTACGCCAAACATTCAAATATTACTGAGTATCCAACAATGAATAAGATGTAGTTATCAAAAAATAAATCCTGGATGTACGCCATGATTCGATTACAAAAAGTATTCATCAAATATTAAAAAGTCACTGGTAATGGTATTAAGTAAGCTAAAGTAACAATCCTTACAAAAGGTTAATCCAGATTCTACAGTGTAAAATTGAATAATATAAGTTTTGTTGGTAACTAAATTTTATACACCGTTTATTCTTATATTATATCGAATACTTTTATTTTACTTAACGTCAACTGTATCACATGTACATTAAAATTTGTTTTGTTTTAGCTCGTAGCTCTTCTGATTATATTTTGTTTTATTTGAATTATTTGAGCCTTTCTTTATTATATATTATTATTATTCGCATATTTTTAACATTCTATTTTGTGTATCTAATACAAGAAAGAATCGAATTTAAATGATTAGCGGAGCCAAAATGGTACAATTGGTGGTTCTAATATTAATAGATGTATTGAAATACAAATGCATTGAGAAAATTGTTTAGTTGGATTAATGAAATTCTAGTTGAAAATAAATTCGCTAGTTAAATCTACTAAAATTCTAATTAAGATAATCAGAATTCTGATTGATATAATTAGAATTTTCTGGTTCCATTTTCAATCAAACATTTTTTTTAGAGCGGTATGTTTTGATTTTGCAACAATCAAAATTAAGGATACATAAATAATAATTTTTGAAAGAAAAAACCTATATTTGAAAATAAACTGTATTAGCAAAAAAATTGAACCAAAATTTTAAAAAATAGAAGAAAAAATTTAAATTGTATTTTAATCATAGAGTACATTTTTTAATTATAAATGCTATATTTTGCTGTTATTTTAAGATATGTTTTACATTAATAAAAGAAATCCGTTCTGATATTACGTATTGTTTCAGTATCACTATGCAAATGTCTGGTTCCGGTGTTAATCGGTCTGGCAAGATCAATGGGTCGCTTTGCATGTACGGATCCACCGTTGCTTTGCCGCATTTTTCCACGACGAGAAACACCCTCACCGGTGGGCAGCACGGAAAATCGCTTGATGTCCGATAAGAAACAGCACAGTTTCTCAAACTTCAGGCCCATCATCCCACGATCTCTGAGCGGCAATTTTAATTCTTGTCTTGACAATGCATTTCCAGGCTACGACAGTCACGATTATAACTGTGGCAAAAGACCGTCACTGCAATCCTTCTTGTCAGTTCCATATGATCCAACGACGTATTTCTTCAGCCGTTATGGGTCGAGTTTCAATCAGTTTCCACAGATGCGTTGTAACGAGAGTCCCGAAAGAAGGGCTGGGATGCAATTTACCGTGGTGCATTTACAGAGTGTACTAGCTTTGGCCAAAAAATTACTTACTAAGGAGATCCTGACATTTCTAGATGAAGAAGCGCAGCAAGTAAGTTTCATATTACACATGATTATTTTCATTTTATTTATTTGTATAGATAAAAAATTATATTTGTATTTATACCTCTACATATTATTCTAATTGTTTTTGCAATTTTTTTTCAGGTGTACAATTCTGGTCAAGTACATATTTTCCCATATCGTACGTTCAGCGAGACGATGAATTTAGTGATGGTGGCTCTGTTGCGTGAGTTGTTACAAAATCAGCGCGACTTACCGGCCCCGTTCACGAGGGACGTGCAGGAGTTCGTGAAGGGCCTGTTTCTTTCGGGTCAAACGGAACTGCAATCGCGGCAGCACGACGCGAGCGAGCGCGAAGATATCGACACGAATTTCCGGACCGTGAATCGCTTTAAGGTGAACGTAATGGCCAACTCCGCGTGCGTGGATCTGCTGGTCTGGGCAATTGGTGATGAAACAGGTGAGGTGACGCTCTATTTGTCGCTGACGAAACAGAGATCACAAGCGGAA